TATTTAGAAGTGGCCTGCTTACCTGTCTTGAGGAAGGCCTTAGAAAAGGTGGGCCAAAAAAGCCATGCCCCAACTCAATGTATCCTGGCCAAAATGAAACAAAGCAAATTGTACTTTGGCATGTTCAGACACTGATCCCTGAATTCAGTTCAACCTCGATTTATGGAAAATAGCACTACTAAACTATGAATTGGTTAGATATGGAATCAACATTGCTCCATTATCAGAAAGGTTCTCAGACACAGGTTCTATCCAAGAGAATGATTGATTACACCGTATTCTGGCATGGGAAGCGAGCAGAAGAAAGGAGAGACAGGGGAGTAGGCTTTGCTATTAGAAACAGTGACTATCTTTCTGTGAAAGCCCCACTGCTGTATGCATGTGACTCATGGTGTTCAGAGTACACACACACAATGGATTCATCACATTGTTTACTGTCTATGCACCTATCCTTCAGGCTAATGATGAAGACAAGAACATTTAATACCAACAACATGAAGAAGAGATTGAGAAAACTCACAGGAATGAGACCATTGTAATACTCAGTGACTTCCATGCAAGAGTTCAATGTAGTTTTAAGAACTGGCTTGGTATTCTGGACAAACATGAAATTTGTAATATGTATGAGAATGGCCAGCTAGTGTGAGAACTCTGTGCAAGTCAAAATATATGTGTTATCAACACCTCCTTTCCTTGTAAAATCACAAAAAAAGACATGGAAACATACAAGTTCAAGGCACTGGCACCGGATCTAGTACTGACAAGGTGTAACCACCTGAAAGACATCCTGCACATGAGGTCTTATCACGGTGCTGACTATGACACTGACCATGTCTTAGTCTGCTGCAAAATCAGAATCAATGCCATAAAGATCCATCAACAAAATTACCAATTGTCCTCAGATTTACATCAGCCAAACTAAAGACATAGAAAGATGCAAACTATTTAATGAAAAAGTTGCGGAAGCAAGTTTACCTATCAACTCACCCACTGAGGCAGAACTGTACACCTAACATTGTATACCTCTCATGTACAATGCTGCTGTAACAGAGGTTGGCAAATGATGCAAGAAAAATGCAGTCTGGCTTGAAAAGCACTCTGAAACACTTTAACCACTGGCTGAGCACAAAAGAACAGTGCTAACTATCTACAAGAAATCTCCCAACACCACAACCCAGGACATTTTGAGAAAGGCTCAAAGAGAAATGCAAAAGAAGACTAAGCGGTGTGCCCAAAATTTTTAACTGAAGTGCTCTGATGATATTCAGAAAGCACCTGATGCATGTGACAACTATAGAGGTATCTCTGTGTTGAACATGATCAGAAAAGTTGTTATTCCCATTATGTTCCCTAGGCTGCAATCTCTTGGTGAAAGACTCTATCCTAAAAGTCAACGCAGTTTTCACTCAGGTTGCTCCACCACTGATACGATATTTTCAGTCAAACAACTGCAAGAGAAGTGTAGAGAAAAAAATACCACTGTACACAGCCTTCATCAGTCTGACAAAGGCCTTTGATATGGTTGACAAGGCTTTTTTACTGTTCTGAATAAATTGGATTGTCTCCCCCAAACTGCTGAACATCATTAACTCATTATAACAAGGTATGAAGGCAACTGTAGTGTATGAAAATAAAGAATCAAATGCCTCTGACATCAATAATGGGGTGAAACAGGGGTGTATCTTAGCCCCTGTGCTCTTTAACATCTACTTTTCATTCCTGCTTCTTCATGCATTCTAGCACAACAATGATGACATTTATCTTTGAACCAGACTAAATGGAGGCTTGTTCAACATCACAAGCCTTAGAGCAAAAGTCAAGGTGAAAGAACTGGTTGTGAGAGATTTCCTCTTTGTGGACAATGTGGCCTTGGTTGCCCACTTGCCAAATTTCTTGGGCAGATTTTCTGTCACTCAAAACTTCAGGTTGAAAATTATTCTCAAGGGCTAGGTACAGACAATTAAAAAGTCTGAGGTGGAATCAAATTAAGTTATATGGTTTTCTATAAGTGACTTCGTTTAGATCGGTAGTGAACAGAACACACATTCACCTTTTGGGGGGGAGGATGGAAGGGGGCAAATCTTAGACTGGGTTACACTATTTTTAAACTAGTCTACGTGTGCTGAACTTCACTTGTGTTACAGGTATAGAATGGTTTTGTGTGCCAAATTTCTGTTGTTATGGATATAGACCTGTTTCCAATCACTTATACTGGTAAAAAATTTAATGTCAGTACTTGGCCAACAAGACTGCAATCATGTACCAAGGGGTGGAAGAACTAGTGCCTGACATCACTTTGGAGGGTAAGTATCTTGCTGTCATTGACAGCTTTTGATACCTGGGTTCTACAATCAG